GGGTTGAACTTCTACCGGGAGGTTCACTTATTGGCTTGGAATATGCTGATGACATGGCTTTATTTGTTAAAGACGCTGACAAATTGCAGTCTTCTGACCACTCTAAGCATGTTCGGGATGCGATACTCCCCCTCGAAATGTAAAATGTTGCTTCAGGATTGGGTTGCATTGACACCCGAACTAATGATAGGGAGTGAAGTAATTGAGCGTGTCGATCGCCTCACTTATCTTGGTAGTCTCATCAGCCCTTGTGGTCTGGTGTGTGACGAAATCTCAGCACGGATACAGAAGGCTCGACTAGCTTTTACCAACTTGCGTCATTTATGGCGTAGGCGAGATATCCGTCTACCAACCAAAGGACGTGTTTACTGCGCAGCAGTTCGTTCCGTCCTACTTTATGGTAGTGAAACGTGGCCGGTAAGAGTAGAGGATATTCGTAGGTTACTAGCATTCGATCATAGGTGTCTTCGAAACATTGCTCGTATATCCTGGGACCATCGGGTAAGTAACGCAGTTGTTAGGAAACGGGTATTAGGTAGGGATGACAAATCGATTGATGAAATGGTGAAACGTCATCAGTTGAGATGGCTGAGATACGTGTTACTTATGCCCAACCACCGACTGCCTCGATGTGTGATGTTTTGTTGTAAAGGAGTAGATTGGAAGAAAGCTAGGGTTGGCCAGACCAAAACATGGCACAAGTTCATGAAGTCACTGACAAGTGAACTGAGCCATGTTCGTAGGTGTAGACTACCTGGTTGGGGTCTGAGAGATGATAGCAACCGATGGTTAGAGACCCTGAATGATATGGCTCAAAATCGCTTGCAACGGTGCAGGCGCATCCACTCTGTGTTCTCGCAAATTCTAATCTTCTGAATTTGTCATGTCCCTTTTCTTTTCCTCTTTCCAAATTTATTTCATTGGATTATACTCCTTGAATAACATCTTCAAACCCTAATTTTTCTGATTACAGCTTATAATTTTACTACATCTAGCACTACGGGATTTGAATCTACAATTGCATCTCTGTGCTAATGTGGTATGGCAACTCGAACTGATGTACGTACGTACGAAGTTCTACATTGTTACTGACTGACTGACTGAGTTACCTCTTTGTTATCTCCCAGTATGTTTGTTAACAGTGTTTTAATTCGAATGTTGCATTAATCTTTTACAGTCTTATCAGATAGTAACAAATTTCACTCTATTATTTTACATAACTTAATAGTATATGATTTAAAACCTGGACACTAAAACCACCATATAAAATTTCATTATGGCTAAATTACTCTATCTCTACAGCAATAAGTTCAAAGTAGATCGTAATTGTCTTCAAAGCTCTGAAATATTAGGTCTTGATCAGTTTATTGACAAAATAAGAGAAGAGTTATTATTTATTCGACTTTTCACATCACATGAGGGTGATCGGTTGTTTGCTCTTCTATTTATTTAAAACCAGGTGATATTCTTCAGATGTTAGCTTTCCTCTTTACACATAAGTGAATCATTAATTGCGTCTAAAAACTACTTTCTCATATTCCTTGTGGTCAGTGTTGTCAATGCAAATTTGAGTAATCCCTACTCGCATAGAATAAAATTTAGTTGCGTAACTTCTGTACAGACACTTACCTAAACACTTATCACACATAAAAGTACAAAATCGATTGTTTGTTTTTACAAGGCACAATACTAGCTAAAATCAGAAACCACTCCGCTTGTTGATAAGTTTAATGACGATATTCAAAATGTTCACTTCTGTACCTTTATCTCGAAATAAATATACGGGTCATGAAATAACAAGTTATTAAATTTAATTTTTCTCTGTCTACAACTTTACATGAGCTTCCTAGTTTAGATTGTACATAATGTTTTAGCCTTCGTTTCAAAGAAAATAAGACCGTTACTAGAATTTTGACATCCTTTATTTAATAAACAAAGACGACTGTATAGCTTCAGTAGATGATAACCTGAAAAAGAATAGTTTTCTCATGGTAGTTTAAACGGTTTTTGATCAATGATTTAATGATTTCCGTATTTTTTTTAAAAAATATGATGCGCATTTGGATTTTAATTCAGTAATGACAACGATAGGCTAACGATAACTATTTTTCACATTAATTCTATATAACATTAAAGGACATGTGTCATTTTAATTTTTCGGCTTTAATAAAACGTGAAGAAATTTTTTCCACTTTTATTGGATATGAAAGGGACTGGAATCTACAATATATCTGAAGTTTTCTACATAAACTACTCTAGTATACAGATGAACCTCTTAAAAATTAGGCTGGTTGCATCTCAAGCAATCAAAATTTTGTTCACTATTGTAGTGGAAACAGAAAATACATTGTTTAGGATTTCAACAAGCACTATAATACCAGTACTACTTGAACACAAGTGTTACAGGGTACCTCTTCCTGTAGAGATACATGATAATAGCATACCTACTTGGTTTACCTCTGCTGTTTAAACTGTTATCCATGATGGTGATTGACATTTTTTATCTTGTCCTTACAGGAATCACTATAAATTTGAATATTAAACCATTAAATTTATGACAGAATCAGTAAAGTTCAACTATATCATTCAAGTATCAAATATTTGTAATACGCTTTGTGAGTAGTATGTAAGAAACAATAAATCACTTCTTAAAACCAGTCACATAATAAGTGAAGCTAATGTTTTATATACATAAACATATTGTTTGATGGAAATATGCGATTTCAAAATTGCCTTGTATGTTTTGTAAAGACTGGATGAAAAATGTTGTGTTAGATTTCGACTCATTGGATAACTATATCGTACAACTCACATGATCCTTGAATCTTGAGTTTGTTATTGTGTGGATTGTCAAGACGCACTCTTGAAGTGTTAAGCTAAGACTAGGAATGCTTGTTTTCTATTGTCTTCACTGATACCGTCAGTTTTTTCACGAAAGTTATCTTTGCATGTTTAAAATATTAATTTGCAGGGGAAGTTTATATATTTTATTTATACTTGGCTTGTTTATTGATCATAATATTACTTACTGAAACATAGCTAAGAAAATTCTTCGGTGTAAATAACAAAGTTAGACTCGTATCTGATAATACTAGCTGTTTTTTGGCAAGTAAGGAAATCGAATAAATGTGCGATAAGCATCTAAACATAAATATCCACTTTTATCGGTCTAACTATTACCATTTACTTAGTAATCTATGTATCAAATACCTCATTTTAGCATCAATTTGTATTAGGGTAGAGTATGTACATATTATCAACAGTGTGGGTTTGCATTATCATACTCGTGATATTTTTTGTAATAATTATAACCGGTCTTTGTCAGCATACATGCATCCTCGAATCCCTGTGTGAATACTAATATGTCGAGACAGTATGCGCAGAATGCAGAATGTGTCGACGGAGACTGATCAGAATTTGGTCGAAAACAACAGGATAATCCAAACCCTTTCTAATAGTGATATATGCCAGTTAGACAACTTGGTAGCTATCTGTAATCAGTATCTCAGTGGATAGCACATTGTGCGTTCGAAGTGAAAGGTACCAGGTTTGAGTCCCGGTGTGGACATCAACACGTGTGAGCACATCCAGCTTGTAGTAAGGTGAAGTTAAGTAATAGTTCAATGATTAGCATTCATTATTTATGCTGGATCAATATCAATATCATTTTATAATTGTGGATATTCCACATACTAATTTAATTCATTCATTTTAGCTTAGTTACTAATTGAGAAACTTATCATTATATGAGAATGAATTAGTAAAGTTTTAATTTGATACATTTTATAAAATTATTTTTAAGTCATCAATTTTTTCTTATAGTTTACGATGTTATGTTTTAAAGTATAATCTGCTATTCTAGATTTAGTAAAATATATTATGCTGAATAATAGATCCAAAGCTTAATTTCTTTGACGTTTATACTTTTTATTCTTAGATCTATAGAAATCTTGGAAAATATGCAAACAGATACTTTTTCATTTTACCTCAGTTAAATATTCAATTCTTGTTAAAATGAATTTTTACACTGATCTATTCATAGTATCATTATCAGTATGAATCAATAATTTTGAAATACATAACATCTTTTTGCTATAGAGATTCTACCTTGAATATAGATATGATCATATAGAGTTTATTGTTAATTCGAATGCCTAGTTTTCATTTGACTGGGTGGTTACCCAACGTTTTTCCTTTTTTTTCAAGATTACTATAAAGTTTTTCAACATGATAAATGATTTTGGTGACTGTTGAAATGAAGAAATTTGATAGTTTTTATTCCATCTTATTACTTGCTCTTGATATACTTAACTTGCTAATGTTATTTGATGTCTTTTGCCTTACTGATAAATTGTAAGTTCAATGATCTTTTAAGTGAAACTTTATATTCATTCAGTGCTTAGGTTTATCGACTAATATATGTACAACTCGTTGGACGAGGAATTATTTTTGCAACATCTTAACAAGAAGTACATATATGGATTCAAAATATTAGTATTTTTGAAAATGATATAGAATGTTTCTCATTAAAAGACAGTTATACATCATATTAAGATGTAGCTTATTGATGATGTTAATCAGATATATTCTATTACCGTTGCCACCATCCAGGACTGTCAAATATCCCGTAAGATTTAATAGGTGATTATTTTTACTGGTTGTAATGAACTATTTAAATGATCAAACCAAAACGTTAACAAACAAACTAAACCATTTTAATGATTACTATAAACAATCTAAAGTGCTTTTTCACTTTGTCTAGTCAGTGAATTCTTATATTTGAAACTGAATTACATTTCATTACGTATAAAGAAAAGAAATTAATTGAATTGCTTCGAAGTCTTGAAATTATGTGACTTGAAATTAATTGAGGAAACTGATAATTTTCGAACTTAATTATAAGAGGGATTTTAGATTATTTTTGATAATCAACTTAACATTAAAACATGTACATATATATTTATATATATCATAACTGTTCTAACTTTTTTAATTTGTAGAGTTTACCAAATGATCATCAAAATGTACAATATTTAGAAGATGGTACAATTGAAGTCACTGATACATTATCAAAAGAAGAATATTACAAAAGTTTACGCCGTCGTTGTACTACAGGCAATAGTCAAAATACAAGACAATATGGATTATCTAGTCAATTGAGCCTAGAAACTTCTCAATGTGGTACATTACGTTCTGGATTTGGTAAACGTAAAGGTACATTACATGATTTCAAACCGTCTGGAAAAGAAGAACTATGTTATATTCTCATGTTAGAAGGAGTAGAAAAAACATATACCATAGATGTAAGTTAGTTTTTCTAAAAATTTATTCTGCATTTTTAAAAATAGTTGTATTGTTTCAAGTTCATTTAGTTCTTGCACATTTATATAGACCTATAAAATATTATTACGGTTGATTCTACATTTTGCTAAACACCTTAATTTATTACTACAAGTTTATCAAAAGATTCAGTTATGAATTGTTGGTTTTTTGAAAGCATTTCTCTACCATTGAAGTAATTTGGAAATTTACTCGTTTGTTTAACAGCATTTTACACCTTTTTACTTACTTACTTACTTACAAACGCTTGTTACTCCCAATGAAACATAAGCCACGAACCAGCATTCTCCAACCCACTACGTCCTAGGCGTTCTCTTCTAGTTCCATCCAACTATTGTTCATTTTCCTCATGTTTATCTCCATTTCCCGGCGTAATGTGTTCTTTGGTCTTCCTCTCCTCCTTTAGCCTTCAAAATTCCATGTGAGGGCTTGTCTTGTGACACAGTTTGGTACTTTCCTCAATGTGTGTCCTATCCACTTCCAGTGCATCTTCCTGATTTCTTCCTCTGCTGAGATCTGGTTTGTTCTCTCCCACAGTCGGTTGTTACTAATAATGTCTGGCCAACGGATGCGAAGTATTTTACGTAGGCAACAGTTAACAAACACTTGTATCTTGTGGATGATGGTTGTGGTAGTTCTCGAGTTTTCCGTTCGATACAGTAGAACTGTTTTGACACGTATTGAAAATCCTGACAGTTGTTTTGAGTTCCATATGTTCTTCAGTTGTAGATATGCTGTTCTTGGTTTTCCGATCAGCACCTTCACATCTGTATGAGATCCACGGTGTTCATCAATGACGCTGACCACATATGTAAAGGTTTTTATACCTTTCAAATCTTCTCCGTCAAGTGTGATTCGATTGTTCCACGTCATGTTGTATCTGGGGCTACTGCCGGTCCCAAGCCCGGATAAAGGAGGAGGGTTGGGCATGGGATTAGCGACTCCATTCCGTAGAAAACTAACTCGCTAAAAAAACGCTGACCGGAAAAAATAATTCAAAACCATTTACATCTTTTTAATAGGTTATAAAAGGTTAATTTTATGACAGGGATATAGATAATTATATTAAATAATTCAAATCACTTGTATTCTGTCCCTATAAGTCATTTTGAAATCATATGTTGTATATGGATATTTTTATAGGATTAACTGTCTTAAATTAGATTTCTGTATTCAATTTTGAGATTTTCTTTATTCATATTTCACATTTTGATGAAATTCAACATAAGTATCAAATGATTGACGGTAAAATATAAGCAAATTATTATATCTAGTGAAACCTAAGATTTACGTACTTACTTCTGTTACTCCTCGTGGAGCATAGGCCACTCATGAAATCTAAAAGTTCATTAAAGATTCTAAAAATGACTAGTAGAAGTGTTCAGTGTTTACAAGTTTTATAACTGCTTAATCAAATAATTTTTTCACTATATAGTAAAACTGAGGAGGTTGACAAATTTAAACGCCTTTGAAATATACTTTAGTTGTAGATTTTAAATTTTGGTTATCACGCATTTGTTTAGGTACGGTCTTACACTGATCTTCATAATAAGATCTAAATCATAGTTCAATCTTCTGTAATAAATTAACATATACCAAATCAGGATATACATAATAATGATGATAATAATAGTTGCTTTCTATTCACCACTGTTTAGTTATTGTAAAGAATTCCCAAAATAAATATACTTTATTACCATAAATTCTACTTTAATATACATCTTCTTTGCAATAATTCAAAAATGCAGCCTAAAACCATTTATCTGTTATTCATCTTCAACCGTAAAGGTTTCGACATTTATGCGCCATATTAAATGTTTAATAGACATGATACTCAATATATTTTTTAAATTGTTGTCTGAAAGAATAAACATGAGGGGAGAGACGTCAATTACTATAGTATCCCTGGTTACATCTTAAACCATTTTTAACGTTATTATAAGTTTAAAGTTTTTTTTACATAAATGCATGAATATATTATACAGTTCATATACATAATTCATTCGTAAAAAACAGTCCAGAATAGGAAAATTTATTGTATTAACATTACAATCATAAAGCAAATGATCAAAGTTCAAGTAGACGACCTGACAAAAATTAAAAACGAATTTCAATACCGTTGATGACATCAAATCTGTACTTTTATGACGGTAAATGACTGTTCATTGATGAACTGATTTGAAATTATTTATAACACTATTCTTATTTCACATCAGTTATCAGCACAGATTTACCAATCGACTTATTGCTAACTACTAGTTACATAATAGTTATTATAAAACGAATCTGTGTATACAAATCAGTCTTATTTGCTATGATTTATTTAAAACAGTTTAACATATTTCAAGAGATTAAGGGAACATTGAATCATCTTCATTTTCCATAATATGCTACTCCTCATTGGCACTCACTATGAAACTACGTGATACAGAATGAAATTTAAAAAAATTGCACTAATAAATAAGAATGGATTTACCATGTACATAGACAGTTCATTTAATGATGAACATGAGCACTGTCTTTAATTACGTACTATCATCATGAATATCATTGTTTTCATCGAAATAGATATTTATCATGTCGTTATGTCTAAATTTTCTAAACATCTTAGTTTGCAACTTCCTATTAGTCTAAATATTCATTCAAATTTTATTCTTAACTTCTTATAAAATATTAAGTTAACTAGTCATATTATAAAAGTACCTACAACCTTTAATTTGTCTTGACTACATTAATATCAGTCAAACAGTCATGTTAATTCTAATTCTCTCCTTCTGATGATCAATTTATATAATTTAAAAAAAAAACTATTTCTGTTTTACAATTGTCGTGTGTGTGTGTATTTTTTTGAATCAGAAATGTCTTGACTTTTCCATTTCATAATATTTATGCTTATTACATATGTTTTATAATGGTAAAGAAGATTTGTAGCTTAGGTGAATGATCCATCACTACATAAGTTTTATTGTTTTTATAACTATCTTAACATTATTATTATTATATAATTATTTATATGACTTTTTCATAATTCATTACAGTTGCAAGAAAATTAACTGTTTTTTTATCAGAAGGGGTTTTGTGGAGATTTTAGAAATTTCACGGATTGAAATCACGAGTCAATTGAAGCTAGACCACCATTGAAAACTTGGAGGCACTGGACGGCTGTTTCGTCCTAGTATGGGATTCCTCAACAGTGCGCATCCACGATTCCGCACCCCACGAGATTCGAATTCTTATTGTTACATTTTATTCGTTTATAGAAATTCCACTTCACAATGTAAAAATTTATTACTTTGATAAAGAACTGAAATATTTTTAATACTTGAGGTCATGAGTCAATTGAAGCTAGACCACCATGGAAGACCTAGAAGCACTGAACTAAAAGTTAAGGGTTCGCGCACGAGACTGATAAGTCCTTAGTTCGAATCTCGAGAGGTGAGGTTGTGGATGCGCACTGCTGAGGAGTTCCACAATAGGACGAAACGGCCGTCCACAACTTCCAGGTCTTCCATGGTGGTCTAGCATTAATTGATTCATGATCTATACTATTGCAAATACTATAATATCCACAAAAACTCCTGATAAAAATAAAATATCGATGTTAGAAATTTGTTTAGATGAAAACAATAATTATAATGTATAACATGAAGTACAGGTTTTTGATACTTTACCTAGATAATTATGATCATTTTTGTATTCAATAATAGTTTAATCGACAGTTTTAGTTATTTTTCCGTTGAAAAAGAAATACAGCATTTTAACTAGAAAACTTTTGTGATCGAATTGAAGGAAATTTCATTTGTGCAAACATTGAGATAACATTATTGTAATAAATATATGTGGTTGAATGCTTTGAGATTTATTAATCAATAGGCTATTGTATTTGTATATGGTATTATTATACATGATAGGTTTCAACTTCTGTCCAACTTACTTTAATTCACTACGAAATGGATTGGCTTATTCTGTCGTTGATATTTTGACTGAAATTTGGTTAGCCTTAGTTGGCATATGTATATCCTATGCGTCTGGTCTCGGTATAGGCCATTACGACAATTTAATATTTGAACAGATAGAATGTGGCTAGCAGTGGAATCCAGGACGCGGATTTTGTCATATTTAGGACTTATCATCTGAATGTACCTGCGTTATAACGGCTTTATCGAAGAAATCCGTACAGGATGGGCATATACTAACCAAGACTAATCAAAGTTCAGTCAAAATACCAACATCAGGATAATCCAAACCATTTGAAATTGAATTCAAACTTATACCTGTTGCACAAGTGAATAACCATATAGACTCAGTAGTTAATTAGATAACAGTGGCTTTTGAAGAGAACAATAGTGGGTCCGGTTTTAAGAGTGAACATCAGATTCGGGATGCAGGCGCATCCAGCCAACGAATCCCAAATAGAACGAAACACGCGTCTTGGATTTCACTGCTAACCACATTCCATCTATTCTTTACTGATCTTTAACAATGTTTTACAGGTATCTGTCTGAATATTTGTCACGTAATGAATTATTTACAGTCAATCTAAAAGATCATTTAGAGAAGAATACATGTTTGTTTTGAGTAAACATATTCACTCGTTGGTAACTTGATAACTTGAAATCTAGTACATGAGACAGGAACCAGATATTTACTTTCTTTGAAACTTGTTTACTAAAGATATATTTCAAATGTAATTATTAAACTGTTCGAATCCTGAGTGTTTGCTCTTTACCTATGATTTCTATTATTTTCTGATGGTGCAGAAATTGGATGGAAATCGTTGACTCACTGACTATTATTATTTTTAACAAAACCGTTCAGCAGTACAAAAATAATTCTCTTTGTTATCGTCCGCTACGAATACGCAGTTATTGTTAATAACTGAATGACTGATGAACAAAAATGCGCAGAAATTCTATGAAACGTAAAACTATTCAAAGTTATGTCTAGTAAAGTTGTTTGTCTA